ACCCCGCCTCCCCCGGCTCCTCCCCCAGCCTTTGTCCAGTTTCCCGGGCAGAGGTGTCACCTGGCCTCCAACCCCTTTCTGAGTTATATGCTCAGGTATCTTCCCTCAAGGCCAGTCTCCCATCCCCAATGCAGACCATCCTAGCTACACTCCCCTGCAACCTTCCCAGCCAACACTCCCCACTCAGCATTCAAAGACCACAAGTTTGTCACAGGCTCCTCCTGCCCTCCTCCTCCTGAAGACACTGCGGACGAGCCAGCAGCTAATGCCATGGCCTGCTGCAGCCACTTGCCGTGTCTAATATCCACTGCCCTTGTGCATCCTCCCCTGCAGCCAAGATTGCTGATCTTATCTGGCCACGCAAACTCGCTTTGCTGAGTCCCCATCCTCCTGGTGCCAGGGCGAGAGACGCTGCCACTCACTGGCCATGAGCAGGCCAGGAGCCAGGCGGCTGCCTCAGGAACTCACCACCCCAGGCACTGTGAGGTGGGTGCTGCCCAGGGGAGCCACAGGCGGCGCTGGGTGGGGGAACGGCCTGGGAGCACAGAGCTGGCTGAGTGGGAAGCCTGGGCATTAGTACTTGGTGCTGCCATTCACCCAGCTTCTGCTCCCGGTCATGTCCTGATCTGTCACCTGGTGTAAATGGGGTGACTCTGGATTTACACCCAAGGCACCAAGAGCCAGCTTTGGTTCCTGGTCCACAGTGAGGGACCCATGTCCCATCCCCTCCCTGGGGCAGCACCCACTAGGCCCAGCCCCCGGGAAAGCCCGGCTCCCGCAGCCGGGGCTGGGGGGAAGCTGTGTTAACCAGCTCCCAGCTGGAGGGCTGGCGTGTGTGTTTTCTTTCATTAGTTAGAGCCCTTTTCATCAGAGCAATTAAGAGCCAGCGAGCGATCACCTTGGAGAGCGTTTAATTAACGTGCCAGCTCCTGCTACACTAGAGGTGCCACTTCCAGAACCAGTTTTGTTTCTGGGGCACCCCCTGGCAGTGCCGGGTCTCAGTACCGTGCGCTGTGCCCCTCCGCAGGGACAGATGCATTTGCCACCAAGGTGGGCAGGGTGGAGGGGGGGCCATGGCTGGGCGGTGTGGGTTTGGGGGGCCGGCAGGAGTGGTGCATGGGGGTGTTAACAGCTGGATCCAGCTGGCATGTGAATGGGAAGCACCGAGGCGGGGGGAGGAACCAGGGCATGGGGGAGTCAGACCTGAGCATCGGGGAGCCCGTCTGCCCGGGCGGGGCAAGGCTGAGACCCCCAGCGTTGTGATTGGGGCACCCCCGAGGGGCATGGCAGGGGATGGCCGAGCTCTGCTCCCTGGGGGGGATTGTGGGAGATGCCCCAGCCCGGCTGGCAGCACCGGACCCCACTGGCTGCTCCCAGGGAGCCTGGGGCAGCTGCTGGGGATGAGGAGGGAGCCCAGGGGCCGTCTGGTGCTGCCTGATACCCCTCGGCCCCCGGCACGACTCTGAGCTGGGAGGCTCCTCTCCTGGCACAGCCGCCCCGGAGCGCCAGGGCACCATGGGCAGGGGGCTGGCAGCCTTGCAGCAGTGGAGCTGCCCCCCCCGTCTCCAGGGGGTTACAGTTTCTCTCAGCAACAAGAATTGGCCCCTGGGAGCTTGTGTCTGGCAAAGGAGTATGGGGCAATTAGCACGGGGAGTGGCTCCAGGGAGAGGCCGTCTCCAAGCAACCTGGTCTCCCCCCCACACTCCTAGGGAGCCTCCTTGTGGCAGAGCTGCCAGGAAAGGGGTGTGACGGAGCAGGGAGCAGGGCAGATTTGACCTGGGAATGTCGCAGGGGGGTTGCAGTGGGGATGTGGGACTTCCCTTGAAGGGAGCTACCTGAGCTGTAACCTGAGCCAGGAACGGGGGG